CTGAAGGCTGCAGTCCTTGACCCTCTGCAGTAAGTGCATGAGGTTCTCCTCAGTTTCAGCGAGCAAGGTTGTGTCATCCGCATAACGCAGATTGTTGATAGATCGTCCACCAATCCTAACGCCACGCTTCTCCTCATAGAGCCCAGCCTCTCGGATAATCTGCTCTGCATACAGGTTGAAAAGGTATGGAGACAGGACACAATCAACAATATAATATTTGGAGGTTGACTGAATATTAGCATGAGGGAGGAGACTGCCCTTGTCCCCAAGGCCAGTATTTTCAAGGACAGGTCGGGAGGTCAGTGTAGATGGACATCGTTAGTGATAAGAGATGACACTATGCGCATGGGCATAGCTGAGGCTGGCAGATCCTGGAAGTGTCTTAATGAGGAAGAGCAACCAGGGAGCTCCTCAGCGGCAAGGACCATGAGGCTTCATCTCACACGCACTGCGCATGCAATTAGGAGGCACCAGTCCTCTGAAAAAGGCATGCTGCTTGGAAAAGTAGAGAGCCAATGAATGGGAGAAAGACCTCAGAGTGACACAGGGATTGAGCCAATGGGCTTGAGCATGGTGAAGATTACGAGGGTGGGCTGCATAGGACATGACTCTGATCTGTTGTTTATAAGGTTGCTGTGAGTTGTGGTCAGCAGGCTCAGGATGGGACAAGGTTTAGGGCTGTTGTTCATAGAATCATTGTGAGTCATACTCAGCGACACCTAACAACAACAACAACAGTGGGCTTTTGCATTACACATTGCAGTTTTTAACGGGAATCTCACTCTTTTTTCCGGATTGAATATGAGGAAATTCTAAGGAATGGCTCCTGAGCTTCCCTAGCAAGCAGTCATCGTGTGCTTGTTGATTGTTGTCTAGAAATACGTTGGCTTAAGGAGATGAGTTGTTCAGTGTTTGTGGAACAGCCAAGTTAGAGGCCGACCCAGGGTGCTGTTCCCAGCCCCACCACTGGATGGCTCTGCAAACCAAGAACATTCACATAAACGCACAGAATTTGGTTTCCTCCCTCTCTAGCTTGAGAAGGGACCTTCTCTGGTGGCCTAGTGGTAAGGAGTGGTTTGAATCCACCAGCTTCTGTATGGAAGACAGATATGTGATCTCCACCCGAGCGATTTACAGACTCTGAAAACTCTCAGTTACGAATCAGTTCTGACTCAATGGCACCAAACAACAACAACAACTAGTTTCTGCATAATGCTTATGCCATTTTAGCTTTTGTGAAGATTTAAAGAGAAAATGACTTACACACTGAAGGTATTTAAAGTTGTTTCTAGAGTCCATTTTAACTCAGGGAGATCCTTTATGCGTAAGAGAAGGGCTTTGCTCCATAGTTTTCCATTTTATTGATCCTTTCAAAGACCTAACTTGCAGATTTTTTTGAGGTTCGATGACCTTTATTCTTGTTCTGACTCCATAAGGTGTTTGAGGGCTAATTTTTCTGAAGTGGATTGCCAGGCCTTTCTTCTGCAGTACCTCTGGACGGATTCACGCAGCAGTAAGCACCTAACCATTCATACCCTAGTGGGTGAGGAGTTATGCTGCCGATTCAAAGGCAGGGGGTTTGAATCCAGTTACACTGAGAAAGGAAGATGGGCAATCTCCTCTTGTGTGACTGAGAGTCTCTGAAAGCCTGTCGGAGGTTCAGTTATGAGTCGGTTCCGACTTGATGGCATGTAACAACAACAACAACTTCCAAATGAAAAAAACCCCACTGCTGTCAAGTCAGTTCTGACTCATGCTAAACGCCCGTCAGCTCTCCGAGGTTGTGAATATTAATTTATAGGTGAGATTGCCTCATCTTTCCCTCAAGGAGTGACTGGTGGGTTTGAACTGACAATCTTTCAGTCAGAACCCTACACTTAAACTGCCAGGTCTCCTTATGCTTAGACAGGAATGACTATGACCTTTGGAAAGCCAAGTTGCTCTGAAGTGAGCAACAATATATCATCAGGGCTCCAACTCTGGGTACTTATTTTAGTGAATGAGTTAAGTCTAAATCCCAGCCCCCTGATTCCTCTACTGCTGCACTTTCTTGCCTGAAATTATTTCCACGAGGAAGCCTAGACTTGCTCTCCCAGAGATGCTTTCACAGTTTTGCGGGGGTTTGTGTCCTCAGCCAAGTGGAAGCATCCTTTCAATCGCTACCAGCTCCAGAAGCAAGGCAGCTTCCTTGTGGATGAGAGGAGCGCTCTCCGGGTCCCCATGATGCACCAGAAGGCGATGCACAGGTTTCTCTATGACCAGGAGCTGTCTTGCACCGTCCTCCAGATAGAATACAGCGGGAACGCCCTGGCCCTGCTGATCCTCCCCGACCCCGGGAAGATGAAGCAGGTGGAGGCAGCGCTGCAGCCGGAGACCCTGCGGAAATGGGACCAGCTGCTCCAGCCCAGGTGAGACCTTGCTCAGGAACCTGAACCATTCTTAAACAAGCCTGGTTGCCAGCGTCCAGATTCTGGCTTCTCGTAATGGGCCTGCTGTATAATCCGGGACAGTTTGCTTTTTTTTTTGAGCTTTAGATTTCCTCAAATGTAAATGGGAAGACTCAATGCACACTCACTAAGTTGCTTTGAAAATGAGTTCATGTTTTGAGGGACTTAGGAAGGTTTCCCACGCATGCGAAGTGCTCATTTGGATGACAATCATCGTTCTCCCTCTTTGAATGTCTTTCTGGATCCAACCTCTCCCCTTCTTATTCCCAATAAAAATATACTCTCACAGGGTGCCTGCGTGCAGCCAACAAGCCACGCCAAGCCAATTCGACTGTCAGAATAAGCATAACTGCTGCACAACCAACACTTTCTATACGTTGATTATGAATCGAGTGAAAATTTACAGGGTGGGTTGGTATTCCATTCAACTGTTCATTTACATATTGTTTCATGACGTTGATTATGATTCCCATGGTGGACTGTCTCCGTTTGTAGTCTAAGGTTAAAATTCAGAAGGTAGAAAAAAAGAGAGAGATTGGAAAAATGACTAGAAACACGGGATTTTTCAAAGATGCCTCTTTAAACCGACATACTTTGAAACTACCAAGTTGTCGTTGGGTGTTGTTGAGTCAACTGGAACTCAAATTGATCCCACTGAGCAGTAGAACTGAACCAAGCCCTGTGCTGCGCTATCCTCATGACCCCTGATAAGCTTGAACCTACTGCTACAGTCACTGTGTCAACCCACGTTGTTGAGGGTCTCCCTCACTTTCTCTGACCCTCTGCCTTTTCCAGCAAGATGTCATTTACCACGAACTGACTCCTTCTGACAACACACCCAGAGTATTTGAGACCAGGTGTCACCATCCTTGATTCTACAGTGCAGCCTGGTTGCAAGTAGACCACTGTGAAACCCTAACAATCAATTTTATGCAATCACTAACCTTTCATCTCATTTGTTTCTGGCATGGGATTCCGTCCCCTCTCGCCATGGCAATTTCTGTCTGGCCTTCTAGGGCTCTTTCCTGTACCCTTCTTAGGTTTATCTTCCTTTATGTGTTTTGATGGAATAAAATCAGGCCCTGAGTGGTTGGTTCCCTATGATTGCAAAATAAGTCACTCCTAATTGAAAGACTTTAACACAAATATTAACTGTCTCCTAGAGTCCCGTGACTCACTGAGCTTAGCAGGGTGGTGACAAAGCATCTAAAAATCACACAGATGAGCTCTTTCTGTGCCCAGTGAACCCATGGCTCATGGTCCCAAGAAGCATCTGAAGCATGTAGCAGCTCCAAAGCATTAGATTACGGACAAACTGTATTTATTCTTCATCCACCTACTGCTCCCCACGAATTGAAGAAATGCCTGCCGCTAAATCATTTTCTTAAGAAATAGACTTCAGTGTGCCCTGACAGGAGATGAGGTTAAAAAGATCTGAACGCACTGGTCCATTAATATTGATGGCAAGGTCCTGATATAACCTGCCCTGCTGGTCTTATGGATGTGATCAGCATTGTCAAGACTGGAGAGAATTTACGTCTGACCTATGACACCAAGGGTTGATTTGCTATGCACATTACACCTGAGGAAGCGAAGTACAAGTTGTGCTAAGTAGGAAAGATCTTTGTGGGCACAAAGGGAATTCTCATCTGGTGACCACTGGTGCTCAAACATCCTCTCATCAAGGTGAATGACACCATCCAGATTGATCTGGAGACCAGAAAGATGATTGATTTCATCAAGCGTAACACTGGTAACCTGTGCGTGGTGACTGAAGGTGCCGACCTGGGAAGAACTGGTGTGATCCCCGACAGAGAGAGACATCCAGGCTCTTTCGATGTGGCTCATGTGAAAGATGCCAAGGGCAACAGCTTTGCCACCAGGCTTTCCAACACGTTTGTTATTGGCAAAGGCAAAAACATGAAAACTATGGATTTCTCTTCCTCAAGGAAAGGATAGTCACCTCATCATTGCTGAAGAGAGAGACCAGAGAGTGGCTACAAACAGAGCAGTGGGTGAAATGATCACTAGGGGATGTGAATCAAGAGAACAAAATCAAAGATAACATGTTGTGTTGTTGTGTACCATCAAGTTGGAACTGACCCGCAGCTGACCCTCTGGCAGGTTTTCAGAGACAGTTAATCGCGTAGGAGGAGGTTACCCTCCTCCTGTGAAACAGCTAATGGATTCGAACTGTGTGCCTTTGGGATTGCAGCTCAGCTTCTTGTCACTAGGCCACCAGAGTTCCCTAAAGATAATACACAGCTTAGAAGAAGAGAGATGCAGGGTCGATGGTGCTGGTTGCCTGACGTCTGGAGGGCTGCTGCTCCAGGACTCAGTTGCTTCTTTGCAAGTGCAGACTAGAAAGGCCTCCTGGAAGCAGGATTTCTGAACCACAAAGATGGCTGGGAGGCTTCGGTGCAAAGCCACTTTTGCTGGCTACAAAGGAGGTCTCCAGAACCAGAGGGAGCACACAGATCTTCTTAAAATTGAAGGTGTTTATGCCCGAGATGAAACAGAATTCTATTTAGGTAAGAGACGTGCTTATGTTTACAAAGCAAAAAATAATACAGTGACTCCTGGTGGCAAACCCAACAAAACCAGAGTAATCTGGGGAAAGGTAACTCATGCCCACGGAAACAGTGGCCTGGTTCGGGCCAAGTTTTGGAGCAACCTTTCTACTAAGGCCATCGGACACAGAATCCATGTAATGCTGTATCCCTCAACGATTTAAATTTATGGAAAAGCAAATAAAATTAGGGATTTGTTAAAAAAAAAGAGGAAGAAGAAACAAAATCAGACAGATGAGAGGTGAAGGTGTTAGGGAATACTGTTGGGTGGATTTAGAATGTAGTCTTGACATTTGAAGCAACATAACTCTTTAAGTAGCAGATATGAAGGTGGAAGGATGTTAGCAATATTTACTTTGCATCAGTGCTATGTGGAGTCAATCAGTTAAGTCTGGTAAACCTTAACTGAGTGTCTAAACCCTCTTGACCTGTGACAGAGGGTTGTGCCAGTAGTCTCCTTAGATGCGAACAGCTGAGGTTCTGTGGGGGCTGAGATAAGAGACTTGTCTGGGATGCAATATCCTATCTTAGCTGGTAGCATCTCTGAGGATTGGTCCCCTCTTGCTGAGCTCACTTCTCACACACACACAGCATCACAGGCTGCTGACAGGTGAGTTGTTGCGTTGTTGTGTATCACTGAGTTGGAACCGACCCATGCTTTACCCTCCAGCGGATTTTCAGAGACAGTTAATCTCACAGGAGGAGGTTGCCCATCCTCCTCCATGACCGGTGAGTACAGCAGGGAATAATGTGGTGCTAATTCTTTGTCTGATCCTCTCTCCAGTCTTCTGGATCTTCATCTGCCCAAGTTTTCCATTTCTGGAACATTCAACCTGGAAGAGATATTGTCCCAAATTGGCCTTCCCAACATATTCAACTCAGAAGTGGACTTTTCAGGGATCACTGGGCAGCTCAACAAAACCATCTTCAGGGTGAGTGATGAATGTGGGGCTGGAGGCTCTTTTCTCCCTTGAAAACCAGGTTCTCCTTTCTTTGTCCTATTCTTAATTCCACTACCTTTGAGGGGTGTCTTCACTAGTCAACAAGCAAATAGCTCATGGGTGTGTTTTACAGGATCCTGTTCAAGGTTGATCTATTTGGGGTCCAAATAAAGTAAGCATGGTTTGGAAATATCTTTATACCCACTCTGCACTAATCAACATTGTTAGGTTTCAAAGGCCAAGTTGTTATGTAAAAATTGGTCAGAAAATGATCTACCATATTGCAAAATGGAGAGTAACTACATCATCACATAACTGCCAATTACATCATTACATAATTGCCAAGCCACAGAGAAGCATGGACAAGCCAAGCTGACATGTAACATTAATAGCCAATGTTACTCTAAACTCACACTGCATTGTTTGTTACTACTATTATTTGTTACGTCTTCATTATTGGGCAAAATAGTCAGATGAGGTGCTTTTTTCCTATTATGATTACTATTTTACTATTGTTATAAATGGGAAATGCTGGATAATTAATTAGCTAGTTGATAAGGCTGGTAGGTTTATTTTTATGGCTTATATTTCTCCCTAGTGCAGATCCAATCCCAACTGAAACTGACTGAGAGCTGACCCTCCAGATGGTTTGTTGTTGATGTTACGTACTATCGAGTCTACAACTCACAACAGCCCTATGTACAATAGCTCCGAACCCTGCTCTATACTGAGCCAATCTCACTCTCTGACACCACCAACCTTCATTACCCCAGTTACTGTGTCGACCCACCTCATCCAAGGTCTTCCTCTCCTATGCTGCGCTTCCATATTTCTAAGCATGATATTCTTCTCCAAAGACTTGTCCCTCCTAGCTACATGCCCAAATATGTGAGATGGAGCATCAGATCCTCTCCTCCAAGGAGAAACTTGGTTTAACTCTCTCCAGGACAGACCTGTAAGTTCTCTTGGTGGCTCATAGTATGTTCAATACTCTTCTCCAGCATCACAACTCAAAGGCATCAATTCTTCTTCTTTCATCCATGGTCATTGTCCAGCTCTCTGATGCATAGCAAGTAATTGAGAAGACCATGGCCTAGATCAGGCACAGCTTAGTCTCTAGACTGACATCCTGGCCCTTCAGCACTCTGGAAATTTCCCTGACAGCAGATTTTCCTAATGTAATTCATCTCTTGATTTCCTGAGTGCTGGTGCCAAGAGTGTTGATTGTGGAACCAAGCAAGCTGAAATTGTTAGCAATCTCAATCTCGTCTCTATCACGATGCTGCCAATTGGCCCAGTGGTGAAAATCTTTGTTTCCTTGATGCTGAGCTTCAACCCATATTGCAGACTCCAGTCCTTGATGCTCTACAGCAAATGCTTCAGGTCCTCCTCAGCTTCACCTAGCAAGGTTGTATTATCTTCATAACACAGGTTGTCCAGTAGTCTCCCAGTTGGTTTGTGGAGACTGTAAATCACATGGGAGGAGATTGCCTATCTTTCTCACTCAGCAACTGGTGATTCTAAGCCACCTGCCTTTTGCTGGAGCGTGCTACTCTTAACTCACTAGTTAACCAGAGTTCCCTTCCTAAGGCAGGTAGTGTAAAGGTATCACCTGCGTGAAAAAAAATAAATTCTTTCATTTTTTTTTTTTAATTCTTTCATTGTTATGCAATACCTTCCTCCTCTCCCCGGTCCACTTTACTATGCAGCTCTTATTCTGGACGCTTGCCATGTGAATCATACCTCATCATATATCCCTTTTAAACACTACTCTCCCTCACCTGTTTCAATGCAGTATACATTATTTATTCTCTTTTTTCCTTAGTTTCCCCCCAAACCTAATATCAGTCCTGTTTTACAACAGTGGTGCTATACAGTATTTGTCCTTTGGTGACCGAGATGTGTCATCTCATCAGCATCATGTCCTCCAGGGTCACCCATTTTGCATAATATTTCATGAGTTCCCTTGTTTTTCAATGCTGCGTAGTATTTTGTTGTGTGAATTTATCACAGTTTCTCTATCCATTCGTCTGTTGATGGGCACTTGAGTTGTTTCCAACTCTTGGCTATTATGAACAAAGCAGCAATAAACATGGGTGTGCGTATATCTGCTTGGGTGGCAGTTCTGGTTTCTTTAGTGTAAATTCCCAGTAGTGGAATTGCTGGGTCAAATGCTACTTCTATTTCCAACTTTTTGAGAGAGCGCCGTACAGCCTTCCATAGTGGCTGCACCATTTCACACTCCCACCAACAGTGAATAAGGGTGCCAGTTTCTCCAGAACGTCACCAGCATTTGTTGTTTGCTGCCCTGTTGAATTTTGCTGTTCTGACTGGGGTGAGATGATATCTCAGAGTTGTTCTGATTTGCATCTCTCTTAAGATAGGGATTTTTGAACACTTCTTCATGTGTTTGTTCACCGTTTGAATGTCTTCTTTAGTAAAGTGTCTGTTCCTATCCTGTGCCCATTTTGCAACTGACTTGTTAAAACTTCATCTTGTTGTGATGTCACCAGTCTTTTAAAAATTGATAATTAAGTGAAAGCTTACAAAGCGACTTGGTTTTCCTTTCAAGCATTTTCATGCATTTTATTTTATGACATTAATTCCGACACCTGCCCTCCTTCCGCTTCTTCCTTGTGATTCTTACATCCATCAGTCTTTCAAGTCCAGCCCCTCTTGACTTCTGAGCTCAGTCTGTGGACAACTGCTGTCTTATGTGTGGCTGGTTGCTCTAAGGAGTAAACGCCTCCCTGGGGCCGCTGTTAACCTTGTAGGCCTGCCACTTTTCTGGCTACAAGTTGAGGTCCAGGGGTGAGTTTAACTCCAAGCTTGAAGGGTCACAGTCTCAGGGGTTCCACCAGTATCCATCAGCCATTTTTACCACCAGGCCTTTTTTAAAGAAGAAGAGAAATCTGATGGCTGGCGTGGCTGAATGTGATGTGGAGCAGATGAGACAGCGCCTGTACCTCAGAGGACAGCTGCTGCTCGTGTTGCCAGCCTGGTGCCTACTAGGACAGCCCTTGGCTCGGCAGGCCCCTTGAGCCCACGTCAGAGAACAGAGGGCACTGTGCTAGTGAACCCCAGGGGCACAGTGGAAAGGAAACCAAGGCTGGAGCTGTCCCCTAGGAAGGAAGAAGTGACAGTTGCTTCCTTCAACTTTCCTGCACTGATACGGTCTCTGTCCCCTCTTCTCCCTCTGTCCCCAGGTGTCACATAAAGCAGCGATGGACATGAGTGAGAAGGGGGTAGAGGCTGCGGCTGCCTCGGGCATTCTCTCCCAGCCCCGGGTTCTGAACACAACGACAGCAACTCACGCTCATTTCAACAGGCCTTTTCTGCTGCTCATCTGGGATGTGACCACCGGGAGCTTGCTTTTCCTGGGAAAGGTCATCAACCCAGCTGCTGGGTGACCTCAGTGGGAGACGGGGCGGGCGGTGACTGTCTGAGCTCTGCCCCCACATCTGGGCTCCCTTCTCCTAGACTGAACAGGAAGGCCAGCAGCCACCTGATACTGAGCTGTGCAAAGACCACTGTCTGCCTGTAAAGAGTCTAATAAAGTTGCTCTTGGGCTTTGTGGACAGTGGGGAACGATGCTTAACAGGAAGGCTCAGCTCCAGAGAGCTTTCTCCTCTGTTCTGAACCAGAACCAGAGCAGCCACACTTGATTTCAACCCATGACGCTGTGTGTGTGTCAGAGTGCAATGCCACCCGAGCAGGCTTTCAACAGCTGGCTTTCAAAAGTAGATTTTCAGGCCCTTCTTTCTCCCAAGGTGTCCCTTAGAAGGTGGACTTGACCCACCACCTTTTTTATTAGCAGTCAAGGGTACTGAACACATGCTACATTCAGGAACACTTTTCGTCTGATCTGGCTGTATGTGCATGGTGCGCATGTGACAATCCCATCACCACAATGGGGTCTGGGCCACGGCCGCCAGGGTGTCTGTGGCTGGTATGTGCCCAGGAAGGAGCCATCCCAGGAGGCACTTGGGTAGAAGAACCTACTGTACCTGAAGAAGATGAGATTTTAGTTGGAACAGGAAAAACAGATAAGCCTTAAATAATGTAAAAGAGAGTGAAGACCAGGGAGTTGGCAAATGAGTACAGACCTCCGAGGAAAGGAGGGGAGAGGTACCTTCTGCCCCAGTGAGAGAAATCCATTTTAATGGAAGGAGAAGGTTTATGTAGCATCCCAACCACCAACCAACCAACCAAGCAGTTACTGTCAAGTCAATTCTGACTCCTGGGGACCCCATGGCTCATGTCTTAGTAGTAGGTTGTCAAGTCTTTCTTTAGAGGTATCCCTGCATGCACATGACCCTCCAATTTCTCAGCTTGTAGAAAAACCCAGTAAACGTTGATAGCACCCAGAGACTCTGTGTAGGATCATAGGGGATGATGACACAAGAGAAGTAGTCAGAGGTCAAAGTTTGGACATTTTGAAGGCCAAAAGTCAAGGATGAGAACTCTGTAGACATTAGGACTAATTCTAGGCTGGTGAGGAGAGTGGATGTGTTGACTGGGGACATCATCTAACAACTGAGCGGGATGAGGTCAGTTAAAGGGTCAACCAGCAGGAACTGCGTAATGAGGTCCGTCTCACCACGCACCCTGCCCTGGCCATTCACATGCATCTTCTCCCAGGCCACCAGCACACATGCCCTCACATTCCTTCTGCCCCCTGGCCCTCCAAACCCCAACTCCACGTTACTCAGCCCACTGGGTTTGTAGCTACCACTTCCCTTATTGGTGGTGGTGTTAAGTGCCATCAAGTCAATTACAACTCAACGGCAACTCTGTGAATAATGGTTGTGAACCCTGAACTACTCTGTGCCATCGCTCACCCACTTAATCGTTCATTGCCTTTTGCACAACCTTAATGTGACCGTCTTTGCTCGAGGCACTAGGTTCTGGGGGAGACTGAAATTGTTAAGGTACTGGTGTTGTCATGCTCAAAGTTATTACATGATACACATGTCATGAAAGGATGCTATGAAAAATACTATTTCAAATTGCTTTGGTAAACATTGCATAAGGTAGTTCAGGCCAGAGAGGCATTTCCTCTTAAGACCTTTTTCACTTAACACAATCAAGTCAGAACCGACTCACAGCTGCCCCTCCAATGGGTTTTCAGATACTGGAGATCTCATGGCAGGAGTTTGCCCTTCTTTCTTCCCTGGAGCTGTTGATGGATTTGAACTGGCAGAGAGGTGCTGCCTCTGGGTTTATAGCAGAGTACCCTGTGGATGACGCCACAGGATGAGACTCCTTTACAAGCAACCTGTGGGGCTGATGATGTTCTGTGGAATCCAAGTTAAGTAAGAGCGTTTTGATAAATAGTGTTGTCTATCACTCTTTCTTTCTTGTAAGAAACACCTGAGGCCTAAATGGGTAGTTGTCCTGACCCAATCCTCTTGGGGTTGTTGTTGTTATGTGCCATTGAGTCACTTGCAACTCATAGTGACCCTATGTAAAACAGCCCTAACCTCTGCTCTATCCTG